TCTATAATTGTAATGTTTTACTTAATGGTCTTGTCATCATTTTTGGCTAAATTAAATCATTAAAAAAAGTAAAATTGAACGTCATAAGTAACTTGTATATCAGAATATCTTGCATGCATCTTATATTTGCAAAATATCAGTTGTGCAAAATAATTGCATAAAATTAGAAATTAGATTCTTGTCATTTCTTTGACTAATATTAACTATTCTCTCAGCTACATACAGAGAGTTTAACAGTTTGCTGTGTTTGAATTTTTAACATAACTGCTTTTGTTTTCCTTGGGTTTGGAACAACATGATAGTGAGCAAATAATGGAATAATTCAGCCAAAAAGCAAAAAGCTCTTTTTCCTCTTTTTGTGAGCAGAATGGATTCTGGTATGATTTCAAGCCATGAAGACTTAAGGTTAATCATTTATCATAATCCATTATCAATTCCTTGCTAATTTTAGACCCTCAAGCGATGTTGAACATGGATTGTTTATCAAGTCGACTAGGTGTTGCTTGCAATCGCTTAGGCTACTCCATGTTTTTCCATGACACCGCGTCTGTCGAGTCAATACCTCTTATAGTCTCACCAGACCACCATCTAAAACACCAGCACTCTGGTTGCAGAAAAAGAAAATAGACACCGAATCCACAGGATCAGGAGAATGGATGTCGTAAAGTGAATTGCACCAAGTAGCGAATCTCCATGGAATTAATTTGAGAATCTAATGTGAGGCATTATATGAAATACAGAGCATTGTAGATTCTGTATTATACATGGTCAATATTTTTAAGTAGAAACTACTCTGACATTTCAGCAGCCTGGATTTTTTATATGCTGAGGGGGTGTAAAATTGTTGTAAATGGGTTGTACTTCAGTTTGGGGGTTGCCAATAAACAAATCCTTAATGTGACACTCACAGACTAGTGAACATTCACACTTGAAATTATTGTAGTGTTTTATTTTACAGTTGTCGTTCCTATAACAACTGTTTCCAATTATTTGAAATGTTATATAATCTGGCTGCATTTAACTGTAGTTAATGTGCTCTCTAAAGACTTAAACCTCTGAATCACCAAGAAAAACAATCAACGGTAAAACGGCCTAAAGTTGCAATGCAGTAAATGACGACATGTTACCGTCATGCAGGGTGTGTGTCTGCCGTCGCTCTCCATGTTACTGACAGATGCATGGCATACTCTTGTGAAGCATATTTTTATATTGTGCGCATTAGGTCATATCTATAAAAACGAACATGAAACAAAAGGGTGTAGTCTGAGTCTTGTGGAACTAATTAAAACAGGCTTCGCTAATTCTTCAACATAATATGGCCTCCTTTTCTTTGGTCTCTGACATGAAATACAATAATGTGTATTCAGTTAATTGTTAGGACACGGAGAGACACATAATTGATTTCCTGTCATTCTCTGTCTATGGAGTGTGTTTGTTTTATTGTATTGATCGCTCTATGTACATCGAGGGTACTTTATAAATGCTGCCCAAATTGTGTTATATCTATTGTCAAAAAAATAACAGGTTACCAATTATAAAATAAAATTAAGTCACAAAAACCATGAAATAAGAACTTATCCAGACAGACTGAAATAATGTTTTGACATCTCTGTGTCCAGACCTTCTATGTTGAGACTGCTTCTTTGATTTTAGGTTTTATTTAAATTGACATCAAGCACATCCAAGTAACATTTTTGGACACGTACAGGACCTTCTCAAAACACCAAAATCCAGCTGGTCAGCCGTCATGGGACACATTTTAAAATATAAATTCTGTTGTATACAATAGGGTCATTTTTGGAGCCCTACAGGACATTTTTTCCTCTCATTCAGAGGAAATATTGTAAAACTGGAGCTGTTTATTTTTTTTATTTTTTTGAGAAACTAAAAAATGCACAATACGGTTCTTATACCATTCCTAAATACAGATACACACAAGCACCTGACCGTGCTGTGGCCCACACACAGTGCCATGACTGGAATTCCTGGACTGAATCCTCACTCATTTTGAATATGAAAACAACACAGTGAGTTTGCCAAGCACTCGTAGTTGCTAAACGCTAGGATCTGCGTTCCTTCATAATATTTTCAGCTTAGTCGTGTGTGTGTGTGTGTGTGTGTGTGTATGTGACCTGCTGTTGACTTTTGAGGAGTAATTCTGTAATCATCACTATTGAATAGTAAAGCTGAAAGATTTGTTAAGACTAAATATCTGCATTGTCATTGCGTAAATGATTAAATCCGTTTGTTCAGACAGTGTTTTTAATAGTTTTGCCATAGGGAGACATATGAGAGTAGTTGTTGCTGTGGAAAGCAAGTGGATGAAGCACTGCAGATTTCACCAATGCTCTCTTTCATCACTTTATGTCAAGCACATTAGAGACCCAATAATTTAAAAATAAAGACAAAGTAAATGGTTACTGCACTTCCTCTGATCTGATGCATGTCGAGCTAATCTGAGCACATATGTACAATACATTTACATAACGCTGTGTACGCCTTGCGTCCACTTAAACCTCTCCAAATACTGAGACCGGATCCCTATCCCGCTTCAGTCATAAGGGTGGTGCTTTGACCTCCAGCTGTAATAATCAGCAAGAGCTCCAAGCTCTCTAAATGTCATTCTCTGCAAATTCGATTCTTGTTTATTTTACTTGGATGAGTGAGCATTCAATCTGTCAATCTGACTCTTCTAATTGGCTCTGAGATGGACAGAAAGGGAGGTTAATTACATCTCCGTTTTTTGACCCACTTTCTTCCAGGTGTTTTACATTGTTTGATGCATTGACTTCAGCTGGCCCGTAATGCGTGCTCTGACTTGAACAGACCTCTGGCAGGAAGATAAAGGAAACATTCTTCTCTGGTGTGATTGGCATCTGTTTTTTTTCTGTGGCAATATGGTCAAAATTACTCCTGCCGTCACTTTCACTTAATCTGTTAGAAACACAGAGGCATTAAGGATTATATAAGCTGCAAATTCTCATGATCATATCATTATGTTTGTTGCGGATGGTATCGTCGTTTTCTATTTTCGACCTCAGCTCAGTGTCAACCCCCCCTTTAACAACGGCAAAAATGGTTGGCATGCTTGGTGCACATTGTCTAAAAGGGTTGTTTTCACACCCTATTCTCTTAGTAATGGCTGTGTTTCGCGCATAACGTGCAATAAACCAATTGGAGTCTCCCATTCCCTTTAAAAGCCAGTTGTGCTGCTCGCACCATGGCGGATTCGCCATTTACGTGGCGGAATTTGCAAGCGTCAAAAAATAAAAAAACGAACGCCTCTTGCGAGAAAAGGATTTGCTCGTGCGCGAGGTTAAAGAGCGCAAGCAGACCATCTACGGGACAAAGTTGTATGCGCTTTGTGGATCTGTCTATATGCGCATATTACTAAAGTGCTCTTTAAAAAATAAAAAATAAAAAAAAAAGATCGCCAAATTTGTGGGTTCCAAAATATGACGGTACAGAAAAATGACAGAATTGCCCTGAGATACAGACAGTATGGCCAAAAGTGCCTATAGTTGAAGTGTCCTGTCCCAAACGCTACATGTGTATTTACAGCCAGTGACTTGCAGGAGTATATAACTGAATTTCCTGAAAATAAACCAGATTTGAAGGGAATGTAAAACATTTATGCATAATGAACATTAAAATGCATTATGTATTTTCATAAATAATTGTAACCAATGTTAAAATCCATTATAATATTTGCAGATTTCTTGTAATGTCTTAAATTGGTTGTTGTCATGTTAAAAGAATTGTTAATAGACACACACACACATGCACACAAACCGAAATCTGCCAAGTATGAAAAACTTACTGTAACATTCCTCTCATATTTATTTAAGGTGGCTAAATCTGGCTAGTACTAACATCCCTTCAGAAATTGATTTGTGGCTAATTAACAAGGCCTGTCATGTACGTGAGATGAATGTCTTTAAGGACCGGTCTTGTGCTTTACCTACCCTGGTTGTTTGTGTTTGGAAACATTCAGCACTATTCACAATGCTGGTATGGGCTATATGCACGCATAAGTTCCGCATTTGACGTAAGGATGCTCGTCCATTTCCGGTTGTGTAGATTAAAGCGGAGGAAAACCGGAGAAAACGGGATTATGGCAGAGTCTTCGATATTTACTGTCCTCCCGTCTTTGAAACGAAACGTACATACGTTTAGATGTAATTTTATATATAGTTATGTTTATTTAATATAATTTTAAAAAGTAGCATAAACACAACGAGGGGTGTCTGTTTTATCTGTTTTTGTGACTAACGTTTCATTAGTATAATCATGGAGTATAAAATTCAATATAAATTCTCGCTATTGCATTGGACTCTATGATCGGCGAAAGTTATCGAGCATCCTTAATCCTTCACCGGAAATAACGCCGTGCATAGAGCCCATTGTCAAATGCTTCATGTTTCAATTCCAGAGTGGGAGCACCATACAGCAAATTCTCCTTAAATTCAAATCCAGAGTGAAAGAAGTGATAAAGAACACTTATGTTACAAACCGTATCTGTAACAGAAACTGCTCCGTTTTATTGGCCTATGTTTCAAAAGGAAACCGTTATTGCAGAGCGTGACATAGTTTGTTGTAAAAGCTCCTCTTTTCTCTTGGGAGGGAATGCATATTTTTGACCTGTGTTGACGTCAGAAATGACATACTCGTTTTAACTAGAGCTTACTTACTCTCAGGCTGAGAGACCAGATGCTGACATGTTTTATTACACTGCACATGTTCAAAGTCACAAGGAGATTTCATGAGGTTCAAAGCTAATTAGCGGTCACATAAAGTATCCTGGCATTTAAAGTCAGCATGAACCGGCATTCGCAACGCACTGTCCTGTAAAACTGTATCTTATTCATTGGGATTTTTGATATTTTATTATGGGTTCATATTATTTTTCCATTATCATGCACAGTTATTAATTATTCAAAGGTTGATTTTCTTTGTTTACATTGATGTTGATTTAGATTTTTTTTTTTTTCCCTATCTAGGTGGAGGAGGAAAACGGAAAGGAAGAAGTAAAAAATGGAGGGAGATTCTTCGTTTTCCTCATATCAGTCAGTGCACAGAATTGAGCAAAACCATCGGTAAAGTATCAACAGTCAACTTGTATTGCTCATGAACTTCCTGTTATTGTCTTGCTCCTTGTCAGCTGTGGTGTTCTCCTGGCCAAATTTCCCTAATGGTGATGTCATTTTTGCAGTTCAGCAAATGTGAGATAAGCATTGGTGCGTCTCAAATTCCAGTATGCCTGGATGTCATACTTACAAAATATCCAACCTTGCATTTTTTTCATCTAATATTGAGCAGAATTTCTTGAGCTACAGACGGGAAAAAGTGACTGTCATCTAACTGTCATCCAACAGTAACAACCAATTTAAGACTTTAGTTTTCACATTTTTAAAAATTCTGAAATATTTTTAAAATTTAAGAGAACTGTTTTTTGTTTGAATAGGTTTAATTGTAATTTAGTCCTGTGATGCCAAAGCTGAATTTTCAGCATTATTACTCCAGTCTTCAGGGTCACATGATCCTTCAGAAATCATTCTAATATGCTGATTTGCTGTTCAAAAAACCATTTCTGATTATAATCAATGTTGAAAACAGTCGTTCTGCATAATATTTTTTGTGTAAACCATGATACATTTTTTTCAGGATTCTTTTCATAAAAAAAGTTCAAAAGAACAGCAGTTATTTGAAATGTAAATCGTTTGTAGCATTATAAATGCCTTTGTACTGTCACCTTGATCAATTTAATACATCCTCGCTAAATAAAGGTATCATTTTCTTTCAAAAACAAAAATCTAACCCCAAACTTAAAAACTGTTGTGTATATTATAAATCAGAATTATAAATGTATAAAGTTTAGTATTGAGACATCTTTAAGTAATTGATTTATCTAGATACTAAAACTAACATGCAAAAAGTTGTCTGTGGTGTCCATGTGTATTGTTTTTCAATACTTACTCTTTTAACAGTTCACCCCAATAATGAAAATAAAATAATTTACTCACTCTCATTGTTCCAAACCTGTATGACTTTTTTTTCTTCTGCATATGATATTATTAACTGTTTTGTCCATGCAATAAAAAGTCAATGGTGTTCAAAACAACACTGGAACCCTACTAGCTTTCATTGTATGGACAAAATGTCATCTTTTATCATGCACAGGAGACAGTAATACAGGTTTGAGAGTCATCATCAATCACTGTACCATGATGCCACACCAAAGCACATTTTTGCAAAGTTTCCCTTTTGTTTGGTGTCTCAGAGCGGGACTACTTCAGCCTGTGTGAGAAGCAGCCCATCGGGAGACTTCTGTTCCGTCTTTACTGTGAGACTCGACCGGAGATGCAGCGATGCATCCAACTCCTGGACTCCATGGTATGTCAATGCACACATACACATGTCTCCAACGCTCAATGCACCTGCTTTATGTTCTAATGAAAACAGAATTAGTCTAAGATCATCAAAACAGCTTTTAGTCACTAATTCGCCTTTGGCTAAGCCACGCCCTAGAAAGTAGATTGACCAATCACAGCCCAGCCAAGAACCAGCTCCCACAGAGGTCCGACACTTTTTCACAGCGTTCCATTGACTTTCAACACAGGCGTCTCATATTTTTGGTCTCGGCAGGCTATTACCGTCGTAGTTTTATCCAAAATATGGTTAAACGTTGTGCCTCGGGCATTTGCAACACAGATACGCGTTTTCCAGAGAGGTTGGAGGGGGTGTCCGTTTTTTCCCATCCCAAAACCGAAGTCAAATCCTGACAAGTGACAAGTGTCGTGTTTGGATTAAACTGTATGGACGTCCTCAGTCAGCTAAACCCCGCAAAGATCAACAAGCACATCTTTTTTTTTACTTCTAACCTTACTGTGAGTGTTATACTAGTTAGACCGTTTTATAATGTTTTAGGTTATAATTTCGGTTCTCATACCGGTTGTTGATACGCTAGCACATGCTGCTAATAAATACAACGTTATACTTGTGTAGTCCGTTTGCTTTGTAATAACAATTATAGAAGTGAATAGAGACCTACCCAGCTTTGCATGAACAGTGTTGCTGACTCCCTGATATTGTTAGTCCCAGCCTCCGTCTCGATTAGGATATAAATGGGGTGGTTCATTTTTTGACTGTGACCGGTAACGTTATGCTTTTGCCTCTAGCCTATTTGGATGCCTTGTTGTTGATTGCGTTTCACCTGTATGTCTTGAATATAGCCTTCGAACGCATATTGCAGCCCCTTTTGCCTACTTCTATCGGACACTTTATTTGTTGCTTTATAAAAGTTTGATAACATTTCAGCAGGAAAAGCTGTTACAGCATAAGCCATGCAAAGCGCAGGTGAAGTTTGACGATGTAGCAATAGTAACTAAGGGGGGCGGGGCTTAGCCAAAGTTGAATTGCTGGATCTTTTTAGCAGTTCATCTTCTCTCAATATCTCTTGCCTGCTCAAACTCTCTCAGGATTCTTGTTAACCCCTCCACCAATGTTCCACTGGCCTGGACAAAATGCTTCTAACAAGACTAGCATGGAATAAAGCCCAAAATATCAGTACCAGCATCTGGTCACTGAATGAGGCCATTGTCTGGTCTCTAACACCACTATACACCCCAAACAGTCTGAACCCCAGGAACCTGAACCCATGACAGGAAGTCACCATCATAAAACATAGGGCAGCATATTTGTGTTTTTTAGGACATGGAAAAGGTGTTCATCTTGGAACTTTCGCCTCCTCTTTTTGAACAAAAACCCTTTGTGCCGTGTCTCTGAATAGCGGAAGCTTTACTGGTGTGCTATAGAGACTGGTGCAAATGTCTTAAAGTCAAATGAAAAAACGAAAGTGTCCTAAACATAAAAAACATCTTACAATCTGGGTTACCAGAGATGGGCTGCATTCGAAATCACGTACTTTCCTACTATATAGTAGGCGAAAAACAGAATGTAACCAAAAAAATTATGTCCAAATTCCCTGTACTCATAAAAGAGTATGCAAAAAGCACCCGGATGACCTACTACGCCAAGGCGAGATTCTGAAATGTGCTAAATAAATCCTGTCTGTGGCCTCATGGGATAGTAGTGAAGCGATAATAGCTCACATGACAATGACAACATGGCAAATGTAGTACGTCCAGATTACAATCATTCAGGGGGGTCTTGAAGTAATGACTTGTTCAAAATAAGTACTTAAAGTGGCTCTACCATTGGAGAAAGTGTAATGGCCAACTAGGATCACATGTGCTTAGATAACCAATCACATTACAGCCTTGACGTCATTGAATATCTTTCAAGTTGTGCGACAATCACTGTTTGCGGACCAAATCAATACCGTAAACTGAATCCTGAATCCTGTTGCAAAATTGTCTGTGACTTGTCTTATAGAACAGCATTTTTCCTGTGTAAACTTTATAAATAGATCAATGTGAAATGTTTAATAGCTAACTTTAGCCAGTAGGCTGTTCATTCATTAAATTCCACTTTTATTTGTATAGCCCTTTTCACAATGAGTCCTTTCAAAACTGCTTTACAGAAAATGCAAGTTTCTGCATTTCATTTTAGAGTAATGTATAATCAGAAGTGTATCAAAGTAATGTCCATATGTCAGAAATGCACAGTTCTAAGATAATACAATCATGCATTTAGCATAAATGTTAACAGATGTTAAATACATCTGTATCTGTATTAATATCAGTGATACTGCCCTTCATTAGTACTTAGTCAGAAATGCCATATAACTAATTTTAAACAAATTTTTTCTTAATGTGGAAGTAAATAAAACGTATTAGAAATAAAAAATAACCCAAAATTCTTATTACTCTAATGCCAAAAAATAACTGAAATAAAATATCATTCAAAAGTTAATGTTTTTGAGTCTTGTTTTTGAGTCTAATGTTTTTGATGAATTATAAGTTTAAATAACAGCATATGTTTGTAATAGAACATTTTTTTTACGTAATAAATGTCTTTACTCTCACAAAACTTTTACTGACCCCAAACTTTTTAACAGTACTGCAATCTGTAATTTTTTTTCATGATAGTACAGTACATGTATGTATTGTAGTATGCTGATTTAAAAAAAAAAATGAAATCAATGTATGAGAACAGAATAACTTGCATTACTGCATTAAACTGAGATCATGTGAAGGAATAAAAACAACTATAAACAAACTAAAAATAAAGCATCTAGACACATTATGGTGAGGAGAATCAGAGTCAAATTCAACTATTCTCATGAAAATAAGGCGTATAAAAAGAAATCTCAATGCTCCAAAAAAGTTAATTGTCTTTTCAAAATATTTTCAAAATGTTTTTTTTTTAATCTTTCATTATGTGTTTTGATTTATAGGGTGAAATACTCTTGGCTTTGCGCGATTCACCCACTTGTATTCTAAAGTCAAGAAGAAGTAGAAAAAGTGCCCTTTATGACCCGACATGCATCAAACTAACTGAGTTCTTGATTCAGCTTTGAATAACGAATTGAGTGTAAACGCAGAGATTCATTGACCTGAAAATACTTGAATATGTTTGTATGTCCGCATATGTTCTGCCAGCAGCAAGTGTGCATGTGCGTATTTGTGTAAGCCACCATAAGGAAAGAGCCCGGGGGGGTTTTGAGGCCTGCTCTGACGTCAGAAAGTTGCGGGATCTCAATTGTTTTGACGAGTTAGACGGCGCTGTCTGTGTCTGCTCTGTGTGAGATCTCTGTGTGTGTGTGTGTGTGTGACAGAAGGAAAGAAGCGCAAGAACTTTATTTTGAGAAACCTCCTCACACATTATTTAGGTTTGAGTGTACACAAAGACAAATGAAATGTGTATGCGGCTGACCTTCTTGGTCTGGGTTTTGTTTTTCCGTCTCGGTGGAGGCGGAATAGACCGATGTTATCTCACACATCAGATTGGACCAGTTCCCATGTGTCACTCAGAGGCAGCCCGCCATTTGTTTTAGCCTGATAGCTCTACTGTACCATTCAGAGCCGCTGACGTAGGTCTTTTCTCAAACCACTATAATGATTGGCTCTCTCTCTCTCTCTCTCTCTCTCTCTCTCTTCTCTCTCTCTCTTCTCTCTCTCTCTCTCTGTGTGTCTGTGTTAGGGGATAGAATATACAGTTTGTACAGTATCAAAATCATTGTCTATGGAAAGCCCCCATAAAACATGGAAACCCAACATATGTGTGAGATTAGAGTGTTTGTGTTTGCTGCTTTTTTTCATGCGGTGACCTTTAAGATGGCAGGCATAGCAAATTCCCCTTTAAATCCATCATTTCCCGTTTAAAAGATGTCAGAAAAGGTTGAAATAAAGCAGTGTCCACTTCTCTATCACCTACAGCATTATAAAATATAAAAACGTATGTTTTCTGGGTTCAGTACAGATTAACTTCAATCAACAGCATTTGTGGTAAAAATAAATTGGCATGTACCCAGCTAAATTACTGTTCCAGTAAAGTGCTTACAAGGAAGTACATAGAGCCAGGGTATAAACATGTCAAATAAACATTGTTTTACAAGTATAGCCACAAGCAGGGTTTAACATTAGCTTTTTTGCTCACTAGCCGCTGTGACTAGTGGTTTTCCAAAGT